TATTACGTATTGCCCGTTGATGCTGCTATAGCTACAATTATATGACGGTGCTCTAGGTCCTCATTTATAGTTTGGGTGGAGGATTTTACTATGATATATACAATGCCTACAACCAAAAAGTAATGTTAATCAATGTCAGTGAAACATGCCAGCCTTAGCGCAACAGACCCTAGTTTGCAGAAGTCCAAACTTCTTGTACGGTAAACTTAATATAAGAAAAATTTCTTATCTGAGCGATCTATATTTAAATAAATATTTTCAATTGATAATCAATATGAAAATAAATATCAATTTTTATTCACTATTATATTTCAGTGCATAATGTTTCTAAAATGAAATGAAAAATTAAATTATGTATAATGTATTTAAACATATTTCAAATTGAGTGATACTATACATATTTTAATTTAAAAAATATAGGTGGTTTGGCGGTTGCAGTTCCAGGAGAACTTAAAGGATTCTCGACCATCTATAGTTTATACGGTGGAAATGTTCCATGGCCATCACTGTTTGAGCCAACTATAAAGTTATGCGAGGAAGGCATGACAATCAGTAAATCTTTAGGAATAACTTTAAAATATGAAGAAGAATTGATCAAAAAAGACCCAATGCTCAGGTACAATGAAAGCCAAAATTATTTTTTATGTACTTTTTTTTTAGAAAAAATCCTATATAACGATTTATTAGGCCATGACATATGTACGATTTTTTATCAATTTTTATAAGTTTTAAAATATTTAAATAAGATAAAATTAACTTTCACCAAAAAAATAATAATATTAAGAACAAGATAAACTGATATCATATATTCAGTAAAAACCTTACTATGATCTTTTTTTTTATAATTAAATACGAGATTTATGAAATTATGTATTTTTCGATGAACTTGATAGATATGATGATATTTATTAATGTTTCATTACCCCTTGATATAATTACTCAGAAAATTAATACATTAATTTTTACTATTAGATATAAAATACTTACTTACATTTTTTTCTCTTTCTACCCTAAATACTCATGTAACTACCTTGTATTTTTAAAAGGTAATTGGAATTTATTCCGTAATAAACAATTTTATTATTATTATTATTATTATTATTATGAAATACATAGTTAAATTTATGCAAAAAATGTTTCCTAGAAAAGCATTCTTCAACGAAGAAACTGGACAAGTAAAGATAACCGGGGAAATATACACGTTTCCTGAGTTAGCAGAAACTATGAAAATCTTAGCAAAAGAAGGTAGTGATGCCTTTTACAACGGTTCGTTAACGGAAAACTTATTAAAAGACTTAAAAAGAGCAAATGGGATAATCACAGAAGAAGATTTAGTCAACTACGAGTGAATATATTATATCTTAATAAGCTTCGTGCCTAATTAATATCAATTTGTAATATTAATTTAAATAATTGAAAACAGTCAATGTATATTATATTTTTAATTATACAAATTAAATTTAATTGTAGTAAAATAAAAAGAATAAAGCTATTTCAATACTTATGGAATAGATTAAATGTTTTAAATGGACGTGAATATTTACAAATTAAGCTAAAATAAACATTTTCAGAGTCGAGGTCGAAGAATCACTTTCTGTAAATTTGAAAAATGGACATACAATACACGCGGGACCGCCACCTGGTTCTGGTATGATATTAGCCTACATACTCCGCGTGTTGGATGGTTTATTACCAGCACCAAATGCAGGTTTGGACGCTCATCGATTAGTGGAAGCTTTTAAATTTGGTTACGCCGAAAGAGCCCATTTAGGAGATCATAAATTTGTAAACGTGTCTGGAGTATGTCTTAACGATCAAATACGTGTTTACGAATGTTTGAATGATTTTTTTTTTATCATAGATTTACAATAATGTGAAATCGGATAGCTACATAGATAAAATACGTAATAAGATATCAGATAATTTTACCTCGTCAGATCCTACGTACTACGGAGCTAATTATGATGTGCCAGACGACCACGGAACTGCCAACATGGTAGTGATCGATTTGATGGGAAACGTTGTCATAAGTACTAATACAATAAACACAAAGTGAGCATTGCCAATTTAAAAATTTTTCGACACTTATAATTTTCAACATAAATATTTACGTGACTTTTTAACAAATTCATGTTAAATTTATTGAAGTTTTGGTTCCGGTTTCACATCGCCTAGCACCGGTATTATTCTGAATAACGAAATGGACGATTTTTCAACTCCGGGAGCCGTCAACTTTTACGGTTTTCCATCTTCACCTGCCAATTATATACAACCAGGCAAACGACCAATGTCCTCAATGTGTCCAACTATAATCACAGACAAAAACGGAGATTTCGTTCTAGCAGCAGGAGCAGCTGGAGGATCGAAAATCACATTAACAACCGCCTACGTAAGTTTATTTTACCTCAAGTTCTAATATTTATATGGTTTTAAATTTATTTGATAATACGAATACACATCGCGTCCATCTCAACTTTATTTCCACTGATTCCTTCGTATTCTATGTATTTTATTTTTGGTTCTATAAAAACATTAAAACACTATTAAACAGTTTTAATATTTTTTTTTAAATAAATACTATATTAATTATCTATTATAAGCTAATATTTTTATTGTTTTATTGGTATTAGATTATATTTGTTTATAACTGTTAAGCTATTTTGTCCCTATACCTTTATAGTTAAACGTATTTTGTATAAAGACTTATAATCATATAATCACGTGCAACTTGGATTTAATTTCCTATGTAACGTTAATTAAAACATTGTGTTTTATAAGAATTTAGAATGTTAATTAATGATTAAAGCTTACCTATAAAAATCTTCAACTCAATACTTTTATAGAATCTGCTTTTGATAATACAAATATCATTAGAATACTAGCAATATAACGCTTATTATAGTTTCTTAAGTATTTTAAATAATTTTTTTTTTAATCCAAATTGTATTTCTATATGTTTAAGTATCACGTGTCTATTATTGTCAATTTTGTTAATGCGATAACTGAGTCAATTATACTATTAAATATTTACACAAATCAATTAAATAACATATATATATACATAATATATAATATTAATTTGTAGGTTTCTGCCCTTAAATTATGGTACAACAAGACGCTAAAAGAAGCTATAGACAAACCAAGAATTTTTCACCAACTTCTACCTATGGAAGTTCAGTATGAATATGGAACAACTAGAGTAAAATTAAAATATATAACAAAATATTTTCCTACATATTATTCGTTTATCTTTTTTTATGGTTTAGAATGTAATACAAAAACTTAAAGATATTGGTCATACAGTGATCCGATTACCAAATATCAGATATTCAGCAGCAACAGCTATTGCCAAATCGATTTCCGGGATGATAGAAGCTATGCCAGATTTTCGACGACCAGGGAATTCATCTGGATACTAAAACTAAGTAATAACCGTAGTTTTTAAAAATGTGTTCATTGTCGTTAAATATTTAACAATTATAGATAATATTAACATTTAAAAATTTAAAATAATGTTTATTAACGATTGATATATTAAATATAATCCAATAAATAAATGGAATGTAAGAAAACTAATAATATATGCTGTAATTTATAGCAAATTTATCTTTATGTTTAACACAATATTATGTATGAACCTATAAAAATATAATTGTATATTTAATTGATAAAAATTTCAAATTACACTTTCCTATTTTTGTATCAATCGTATTAGTTAATATTGCAATTTTTTCATGGTTGTTAAACATTAATTAGAAATATATTATCTTTTTTTTTTAGGAATGCAGACTGCTTTTTTTCTATGTAATTAATTGGTCTTACACTATTATACTTGTATGATTTTGAGATATTAATCAAACACTTATTTTTGAATTTAGATATTAGTGTACATTGTACGCAGTATTCGTAAAAAATTTAAGGAAATTGTTTTTTATTTATGAAATAAAAATGTTAGGTGTATTTTTATAATTTATTATAAATTACTTTTTTTTTCCAAAAATAATTGAAAAAGCTCATTTACACATGGCATAATATTAAATTCATTGGACAAAGACTTGAGATCTATAATAATGACTAGGAAGCGGTTTTATAATATGTAAATGTATATTTTTATTAAAACAAGATATTATGCACTTTAAATATGCTCCAGTTACATCAGTCGGTAGGAAATAAACATTTAGCCATTTTAAAAATATTTTGAGACCTAATAAGTGAAATTTAACATTCGATAGTTTAAAATAAATTGTAATTATTCAATGTAGCAAATCATTTTAATAATTTAATAATTATATATATTTAATGTACTTTTTTTTTATTACTTATTTTCCGACATATTCTGATATTTTTGACACATATTTATAAATTTTACTTCCATATTTCTTTATTTTTATTACATATAAATCCGTTCCCTAATAATGACAAATATTACCGATAACTATTTTTATGTTCTCTATATCGTCATATAATATTGTATGTGACCTTTTATCTATTATCTATTTATTTCCGACCTTTGTGTATATGGTTTATATTAGATAAGCTATATACTTATATTTCTTAATGTAATGGTAAATTTAGTGCTATGTCGATTTCCCCAAAGCAATGATTATTTTTTACAAAATATTAAGCATTATAAAAGTATAATCAGATAAAAGTCGTTTGTCAAACCCATTGAATCTTCTAATTTTCATAATTATATATTAAAAGAAAAATATTTTAGACAGCACTTCGTATAGGCAATATAGTGTCTTATTTAATTAAAATTATAGTCACATATATAAATATATTATACAATTTTTATACATCGATCTTGAGAATATTAGAAACCATTACATCTAAAAAATTCTTCGAAATGTTGGTGATATCATAATATTATAATTATCTTTCAATCAAAATTTTATATTTAACTTTTATTTGTATATATAGATTATAATAGAAAGTTTTCAATATTATATGACGGTTTTGAAGATAATGAACGATGGTAAATAGTAAATTGAAAACTAATAGATTCAAATGAAAATTTTTAAACTATTATAACTTAAAAATTTAAGATAAATCTGATCTAGTGATGTGCTTTATTAAATTTTCTTATTTTAAAATTGCATGAAGAATTTAAACTGTAAAATCCGCATAAATTATATTTTAACAAAATAATATAAATAATCAATCATTTATATTCCTTAATTATATAAATTTAAAAAAATTAGGAAACATTTATCATACATTTCTTAGTATCCAGTATTGTAGTTTCACAATTTTTTTTCTTAAATTTTGTATATGCTTAATTTATTAAAATTTGTATGATTAAAATCGACATTTTTGCAAACTCAATTTCAAAAAAAAATTCAAAAATTATAATGTAGGATGTAGAAATATTTTACAGTCTCTCTCTCTCTCACTCTCTCTCTCTCTCTCTTAATAAATATTGCTAAAAAAAGTTTTATTATTTAAATCCATTAAAAATTAAATATTTAAATTCATTAACCATGAGCCTTAACAACAAATGTAATTTACTTACATAATAGTTTTATTGTTATTGCTTTATTTATATAATATATTATAAGTTCATTTTATTTGCATGTTTGAAAATCAATCTAATGGGCAGTGTAGTTAATGGTTATCACTTGGATAACTTATCACTTATCGAGTACGTTTGATTAATGAACATTCATTAGCATCGTTGTATAGGTACGCTATATATTTACTTATTTATCCGTATTACTTTACGGTATCCGAGGATTGATGAAACCGATAAGGGCAATCTGTCATAGGTTATAATAAGTATCTTATTTTTCATACGAGTAACCAATTAATAAATTAAATGAATAGTTGATTATGATTTTTATATTATTAATAACAGCCATACCACATTAAAAAAAAAAACTGATTCAATCTATTATCTAATATCTTCTTTAAACTGACAATATTGGTTTAGTATTTTTCGATTCCATAAGCCTTTTAGTCTTTTAAATGTAATAATTGTTACCTGTAGCTTAGATTTTAATACTAATACTTAGACCCGTCCAAAATCCTAAATGAAATGCATACAAGATTTAGCGCCAATCGGTCAAAACTATAATTAGCGTATTATGCGTCAATTAAATATTAACACAACTAATGATGCCTATACTAGTCGACAGCATTTTAATTATTATAATTTATATATCTATCGTTTCCTTTTTGCTTCGCATGAAATATTCTCAATTTTTATTGTCAAAAATTTGTTTCAATTTATAAAACTAAAACATTAATTTTGCTTTTTTATTATTTAATAGTTGCTACTTAAACTTGCAATTATATTAAATAGCTATATTCGCCTAAATGAAAAAGTAAAATACAATAATCAAAAATTATATACGACCGTAATTAGATACTATTTTACCATCTATTCTGTAACTATTGGCAACCCACTATAAAAATAAAAAACTTGTTTTTCGTGAGTTAAAGCTAAATTCATGTGTGAGCTATGATCCACCTAATATCGACTTTTATGGACTGAAATTTTAAATTACGAATCTTCCCCAAGTATTAAATATTGTAATAATGTACCTTATCTCTATTGAAAACGATCCAATATTTTTTAAGTCTATAAAATAAAATTAAAAGAAAGAAATATACATTTTTAATACAATGCTATTCTTTTTCGAGGTGATAGAAGTGAATATTTATCAGCCGTTCACTAGTAAACACCAAACGTTCTAATTATAATTTTTTTTCTTTATAAGTTCACCCACAAAATTTTTAATTATTTGCATTTATATAACAATTTCAGAAAATATAGAAATATAGTTTGGTAATATTTTACAGTTTACATAAATATTATTATTAGATTGTAATTGTTAATTTATATATAATGCTAAATACGGACAACATTATACGCCGGCCATTAGTTGTTAAGACGTATCTATATTGTATAAACTGAAAAATATATTTATATCATTGCCATATATTATTATGAACACATTAATGTATTTTATATTATATATCGACAAAAGAAAAATATTATATTATTTCGTTTTAATCATCTATATTTAATTATATAATGCAATGTAGGTACTATATATTTGTGTACTTAATAATTCGTTTTCTTATAAACCATTATTTATTATACCTATAATGTCACGTTACACACATATTCACATACACCCGCCAACAAAATGTTACTATGTATAATAATTATATTATTATATTTTATTCACAGGTACCAAATGGAACCCGGAAACCTTAGTTAAATCGCTGATTTAAATATAATATATAGTGGTGTAACTCCGCAATTGATAATTTGAATTTGTAAAATGTTTATTGGTTAATATATTTTGTTTCTTAATTGTAATAATCGCGATTGGTGCACAGTGTACTGTGAGAAGTGCTTTGATTAACATTATCCTAGTTGTTTAGTATTATATTTCTATATATATCCAAATAATAAAAATAAGTAGGTATCTATTAAGGACTTTGATATATCAAGTATACAAAGATTTTAGTTTGTTGTATTTTTTATTTTAACTTGCCATTCTTTAATTTATATATGAATATTTAGAAGAGGAACATGATTGAAGCTAAACATTTTTCCGGCTCAGTCCAAGGTCAATTTGTTTTTATTCCCAAGATACCAATGGTTACTATGAATACCTGTTTGAATTTAAACGAGTTTAATTTGCTATAGGGTTTTGTTTTCTAGGTTTATCAATAATATTTTATTATTTGCTAATATAAAAATATTCATACCAATCTATTAGTCTAATGATGCGACTTTCTTGTAAAATAATTTGTATCAATTTTCTATTAAATTAATATAGATGGCGTAGATTATCAATTCGTAAATAGTATAGATTCGATTTAAAACACAGATATATCTATGATTGTTAAAATACAATTAGTAAGTGTTTAAAAGCCAGTGTAAATAAATTATTTAAACATTTATACCAATATAGTATTATGAAGAAATAAACAAAATCGAAATATTTTTTTTATAATTAGATAACGAGAAAACTTTAAAATGGGAAATTGGATTTGATAAACATTTTAATATTTAATAAAACAATACTTAAAATTTCAACCTGCAGTTTTTTTGGTATTTTAATTTTAACCAAGGCTATTATTACTATAATTAAGTTAAAGTTAATAAAAAATAAATTTAAATATTTTAATCTGTTTAAGAAATTAATTATTAAAAAATATAAGTATATTTACTAAGAATTTACATAATATAAACTTTTCTAACATATTTTTATGATAATTTTATTATGTTTGTGTGGTTTTGTGACCAATCGTCTATAGGTTAAGTTTTCAACAGGTTTTTTCATGGCAAAAATAATTATGTAATTTTTAATATTCAATTTAACAACGTTAATAAGAATTAGAGGTATTTTAATATATACATAAGAAGGTATATTATGTATTTTGTACTTACCAATCGTCTTTGGTTAATATTTTAAATCGGTCTGTTCTTAAAAAATAATATTTATTTAACGTTTACTCATAATCTCAGAAACATCAATGTTTATCTTATTACTATAAATCATTCGATTGAACTAAACCCAATATTTTTTGTTTCGACATCGTTTTCATTTAATTCTATCGTTTTTCAGACTATAATATTTGTTTTACCAATATCTTCAAAAAAAAAAAATAGTGTAGTTATCGTGTTTTTTCGTTATCGAATTAAATCCTATAAAATAAACGACTAAATTGAATAATGCAAGTGACTTAGTAAGTTTGTTTTATTATTATTTAATTTAAAAAATGTACAAATAACTTATCATTTTGTTCGTGATGTATTTAGTATCATGACTTAAATCCTCATATTTTATTTATACGTTAATCCACTATTTGTGTTGATACTAATTATCTATTATCGTAATTATACAAAAGTTAACTATGTGAAATTACAAGTTACTGGATATATTGAGTTTTTAAATAATAATTATGATACTAAAAAAGAAAAGTTTTCATCTATTATCCTATTTTAATATCAGTACTTTCGTAGTAAAAATTTCATACCAAAAAAAGTTTTGCCATGATAATATATAATTTTTAAATTTTTCAACGATTTTCAATCACCAATATTTATAATTTTCAGATCTAAGGCTCTTAAATTAATTACTAATTGATTGTGATATGTGAATCAATTACATTACTATATGATGATGAGTTTTTAATCTTTAATTTTCGCTTCACTTTACTTAAACTAAAAATGGTTCACTGTCGTACTCTAATACTTCATGTATCTTAACGGACTTTTTAATTATAAAAACAACTAATAATTTTTACTTTATCATATCTATGTGAGATACTGAGATATTTAAATAATTATAAAATAATTATTATTCATAGTTTAATAATTAATTATACGTTTTCTTTTTAATAGTACGTGTGTACTGTAGAGCTCTGCATGGTCCGGTCTGGACCGGTCCGAACCGGACCAGACTGGACCGTGGTCCGGTTTTAGTCGACGTCTTTTATATAAAATAATGAATGGGTCCCGTTTTGCTTATTTAAAGACACGGTCGTCTTCTCGGTCCTTTTGGACAAATTACATCAGTTCAGTATGGATTATATTCTCGTATCTACAATTAAACGTCGATACTGAAATAAGTAGTATGATTTGTTATTTTAGTTTTATTTTCTGGAATATGACGACTATATCAAATATCGTCGTTATTAGGTATTGTAGCTGTATAGCATAATATTTGTATTTTACTAATTTATTATTTTAATTAAACTTAGGCGACTTCGTGACTAATGAGTGCAGGTACTACCTAATACTAGTATGCATATGATGTAATGATGTTGATCCAAGTTAATTTTGGGTTTACTGTCATCATTCGTAAAATCAAATAACATATTTTATTATAAATACTAATATAGGGTGAGTGTCATAATATAATAAATATCACCTACCTCAGTTACTCACATATTCCTACTAAAATATTTAATTTTGGGAATTGTGTACACTGAGTAAACACAATAATAAGAAATTATTAATTGAAAAATTGTTTTACATTTAATGTTTCTATTTTCGAAATGTTTCTACTGGCTGTTGAAGTGACAGTACTACTACTCTCTAGACACTATGATACCCATCAGCAGATTTTTATGAACCAGTTATTATCTCTCAATATTTGGTGTTGATATTAATAAATAGAGCAATACGTAATA